TTATCCTATCAAGAGTTTTTAACGGAATTTTACCTGGCAAAACAGAGGAATAAGAATAAGATTCGACATTCCAAGATTTAATTCTTTTAATCCACGTTATTATAAATGTATTATTATCTTGCTTTAAATTTCTCATATAATGTTAACTATATTATAGAAAAGAATTGGATTAAAATGATAGTGTTAGTCTGTTCTGAACCATATATTGAGATTAACTAGTCCTGTCCATCCTTAATCCTTATCAATTCATCATAACTCTGATAAAACCCAATGCGTAACTATGTATAAAGGTCTTGTTTTTGTTGTCTAATTTTAATAGTGTAAATCAATTCAATTCAGTTTTTTCTTGTAATTCTCCCAAATGTCCACCACAGAGAGGGGAGAAAGCAAGTTTGTGAAGAATAGTGCAAAAATTTGACGTCTCAACTTGATATCCATTTTTGATTTAAATCGACTGAGGGTCTAACCCGTTTAAAACAGCTGACAAGTAGTTTCGGAATCTTTCATTGGCCACGAGCAACATGAGCAATGTTTCCAACCTCTTTAGAGAGTTTATCCGCAGATTAGTGGTTTTCGAAGGGATTAGCAATTTAAAAGTTTCTATAACCTCATGTTAAGTTGTTTGTTTAAGTCCACGAGAGTCAATATACTGCATGTGTTTATCAAATTTAATATAAACATTTAGGAAAATATAAAAAATTGCGGCAGTGTACACATGTTGTTATGAAATGATCTTGAAAACAAGTTAAAAATAACAATGTTATAAGTTAAGTTAAGAGACAATTAATTTTGACCCTTTCAAGGAGAAATAATATAAAGGGAATAGAATTTACATCTGCAGGCAATCACTGTAAACAAACTGGTTTTAGTTTACAAACAAACAAGTTCAAGATCTGTCCTCTTAAGACAAGTTAGAATGAAAAAATCCATGTCCTGTGTATTCTTTTAATGTTTTCTTTAGTACATCTGCGCAAAGGATGATATTTGTGTGTACCAATTTGTAACACTAGGCTTTTAGGGCGCTTCGCGCCCATCTTCTATTTAAATTGTGAACATGTTCTTTTTTGTTTACATTTTAAAAGAAAGAAGAAAAAATGTTGCGGATTTTTAAGAATTTAAATTTTTTACAAAATTAAAAACCTTTTAAACACATTTTTTAATTTTTATCATTCATAAACCTTCCCTGTGGTCACGTGATGTCCCACAAAAAATTTGGGCCCGATCGGTTCAGCCGTTTTGACGTTTATTGGATACAAACAAACAAACATATGGCATATACATTTGTTGAGGAAAATAAATAAATTATTGAGATCTAGTTATTTTACTCACAAATATTAATTTCAACTGACATTGCACTTAAAAATACATAAAACATGGTATTGTTACCAATGCAATTGATTAGACTGTAAAGACGACCTAAAAACTAATAAAATCTGACTATCCCAAGGTTAATTCAATGATTTAGCAACAAACAAAAGTTTACAATTGCAGAGAATCGTGAATATGAAGAAATAAAAAAAAAAATTCAGAATATATTTTAAAATCTGTAATTCTTTAGATAGATGCACACGTACGTGATTATTTTTTCTTGGTTGAAAATTTCAGAGATATATAAGACCATATTTACATTTGCTGAAGAATTACGATATTTTGTAAAAAATTATGTGAATACAAAACCGTAAAAATATTTTGTACAACGAACCTGAACAAACAAATACATATTTATGTGGATTGTAGATATTGAGAAACACGAGCAGTGATATTTACTATGTTTACTTTAAGTAACAAATAAAAACCGGTTTTATCAGGCTAAACATTGTAAACATCATACCGGGTACTTGTTTTGTGTACATAATATATATATTGTAGAGTTACCCACAACAGATGAGGCTTCAGAGACGACATAACAGAATTCATCCGGGGTTATTTTCTTACAGTCGTGTTCTCTAAGATTAAGGTTTAAGAGCAGGGATGGGTGAGGATAGTGTGGAGTAAGGTTTATGAGGAAGGATGGGTGAGTATAGTGTGGAGTAAGGTTTATGAGGAGGGATGGGTGAGGATAGTGTGGAGTAAGGTTTATGAGGAGGGATGGGTGAGGATAGTGTGGAGTAAGGTTTATGAGGAGGGATGGGTGAGTGTAGTGTGGAGTAAGGTTTATGAGGAGGGATGGGTGAGGATAATGTGGAGTAAGGTTTATGAGGAGGGATGGGTGAGTATAGTGTGGAGTAAGGTTTATGAGGAGGGATGGGTGAGGATAATGTGGAGTAAGGTTTATGAGGAGGGATGGTTAGGGTAGTCTAGAATGAGGTTGGCGATGAGGGATATTTGAGGGAAGTGGGATGTAAAGAGGGGAGTATGTGGGGGGGGGGAGTAGTGTGCTCTTTTTGACACAGTATGATATAATTAGGTTGATATGAGTAGAGTAGAGTACACTAATACTGAAAACATGTATCCAACAGTCAAGCTGAAACCCTACTCAGCGGGATACAAGGTACAAGACAGGGTACAGGGTGCAGGACTAAATAGAATATTGGGAAATATGATACATAATTACATAGAACTTGAACTTGGTTACAGGACTATATAGGATTATAGGAACTCGGATAAAGGACTTCGGAGGACAATAGAATATAGGATAAAGAGCTATAAAGCATTATAGAAATTAGATTACAGGACTAAATAGCATTAAAAAAACTAGGATACAGGACTACATAGCATTGAAGAAACTAGGATACAGGACTACATAGCATTGAAGAAACTTGGATACAGGACCACATAGCATTAAAGAAACTAGGATACAGGACTACATAGCATTATAGAAACTAGGATACAGGACTACATAGCATTGAAGAAACTAGGATACAGGAGTACATAGCATTAAAGAAACTAGAATACAGGACTACATAGCATTAAAGAAACTAGGATACAGGACTACATACAGTGAAACCCTTAATAACGAATACATTGAAAGAATTCATCAAATGTCGTATTCTTCACTTCCTGATAATGGAATGTTGCAGATATTTAGTTTTTTAATTAAATGATTATATGAAACTCTCTAAAACTGTTCCCGCATATTCATGGCTATTTATTTATTTTCGCACATACTGAAATTTACGTAATATAGTGTAAAACTCATTGAAAAATTGTCAAGACGACATTTGATAAATTCTTTCGATGTATTCGTTATTAAGGGTTTCACTGTAGCATTGAAGAAACTAGGATACAGGACTACATAGCATTAAAGAAACTTGGCTAAAGATAACAAGAACTACAGGAACTAGGATACAGGACTTCGTAGGGTTATGGAAACTAGGATACAAGACTACATAGGGATCCAGTAACTAGAAAACTAGAATACAAGACAGGACTATATAGGAGTAGGAACTACATAAAACTACAGGAACTAGTATTCAAGAAACAAAGGACTACAGAAACTAGGATACTAGAAACATATAGGAATACAGGAGCTAGGATACAAGGAACAAATAGGACTACAGGAACTAGGATACAAGAAACAGAGAACAACAGGAATATGTAGAAATCTGGAATAACATTCAACTAGTAGAAAATGGGACTCGAATACAGGGGCAAGGAGGCAGGACTAAGAAAACGGGACTCAAATGCAGGGGCAAGGAGGCAGGACTAAGAAAACGGGACTTGAATGCAGGGGCAAGGAGGCAGGACTAAGTAAACGGGACTCGAATGCAGGGGCAAGGATGCAGGACTAAGAAAACAGGACTCGAATGCAGGGGCAAGGAGTTAGGACTAAAAAAATGGGACTGGAATGCAGGGGCAAGGAGGTAGGACTAAGAAAATAGGACTCAAATGCAGAGGCAAGGAGGCAGGACTAAGAAAATGGGAATCAAATGCAGGGGCAAGGAGGCAGGACGAAGAAAATGGGACTCGAATGCAGGGGCAAGGAGGTAGGACTAAGAAAATGGGACTCGAATTGCAGGGGCAAGGAGGTAGGACTAAGAAAATGGGACTCGAATTGCAGGGGCAAGGAGGTATGGATTAAGAAAAAAAAGATTTAAACATTTCTGTCCAGAGAGCAAGCAAGAGATTTGAGTTTTTGCCACAAACATAGATTTTATAATCTCTAAATCTCTATGACTATGAATTCAGTTGTAAATGGTTACAATTATTAAATTGCAAAGGAATTCGAAAACTTGGGTTTGTGATAAAAAATCAATTCTATTATTTTAAATCTGATGAGATTTGTTGTAAAATTTGTTGAGATTGTTTACTTATTTCTAAGATTTTTGTTTATAAAAATAGAAATTAATGATAATACTTTTTTAACAAAATCAGGATTTTATTAACTCTAAAGATGAACTTTGACCATGGAATATATATATTCCTATATATGCTTGTATATTTATCTTCTATATAATAAAGCTTATATTATCTGTATGCTTGTATATTTATCTTCTATATAATAAAGCTTATATTATCTATATGCTTGTATATTTATATATGTGTATATATGTTAGCTATAGCTGGCCAAACGGCTAGACCGAATGGGCCAAAATTTTATTAGGGAAATATTTTTTCTGAAAAATGTTTTTCTTTTTTATCGGATTTTTTTTTTCAAAATTCGATTTTTTAATTCCACGGACAACACCGGGCACTGCAGCTAATATATTCTATTTTGTTGCAAAATTTAGAAAAGGCAAAAAGAAATATCAGAAAATAAATAAAAGAGTTTTAAGAAAGAGACGACATTAAATTGGTTGACCTCATCCCACTGTGCAGACAGTAAACACCAAACCTGTATGGTGCTTTCAATACTCTATAGAAACTGGAAACCCCGGTTCTTTTGAATTATTGGCCCAACCTTTGGGAAACAAGAGAAAATTGAAAAAATTTCCATATCATCCCCTACTAGAGAGATTAATATGACTAAATAAACTACAAAAATGTGGAAATTTTGTCACGACTTAAAAAGTCTTCATTTTTCTGGGGCACCCTGTACTTGAAGAACTATCGACACTAACCTTACTAGATGCCATATCTGATACACTCCGGTGGGTTTGAATAGTCTCCAGCTGGTCGAGACACCAGTCCAGCTCCTCCAGGGTTTCTCCAGCTCGCCGGACATAGTTCTCATCTAATCAGTAACTTCTTACAGTTGTCGTCGTATATATTAATGTAAAATAAAGACGACTTTCGATTTCAATTTTTATTTCTACCAAGCTTTCAAACAGCATGGATACACTAAAACAGGGAGATAAAGATGAAGCTGCCAATTAACAGCTAAATTTTTTACTTGTAAACTTGTACATGGAAATTTGCATTTAAAAATTAAACTTAAATAAAAAATTCGTCCTAATTGCATGAATATGAACGCCGACCACAGTAATCTCCGACACCCCGCCCCCCCCCATTCCCTCTCCCTAAAAACCATTAAAAAATGTAAAACTACATAATAAAATCCTAGTTGGTCCTAGTCCCAATGCCCCCTCCCTCTTCCAGCCTGTCTTATAAACTTATTTGAGATTCGAGATTGAAGCAAGAAATTGTCTGTCATGAATTGGTTTAAATGTCGTCTTGCATTAAATCCTCTTAAAACAAATATTCATGAGAAAAAGAAAATTTTTGTTTTTAGGTTATTTTCCAAGGAAAGCTAGAGCTTTGAGATGGAGTAAAAGTAAAATATTTTATTTTGTTATTTGTGTCTTTTATTTGTTAATTCTTCTAGGCTACACAGTGACGCTGGGCAAAGTTCCGTTAACGAATTGCTAAAAAACGTTATTTTTTAAATCGTTAAATAACGGAAATAGTAGTTTTTGTATAAAACAACGATTGAAACAAAACAACGGTGACTTTCGTTTTTTGCTTAAAATTGCACGAAACTTGCAGAAAAAGATATTTTTATGCATTTTGATGTTTTCAAACGCCGTATTTGGTTTCCAAATCCGTTTACAAAATACTGTACATACAATGCATAATTTACGTTAATTTTACAGGGGTCCATATAATTCCTTTTTCAATCCCATTTGGGATTGACAAATTTGAAAGAAATGGGGGCAAATTTTTTTAAAATGATAATTTAAAAAAATTGAGGGCATTTTTATTTCATTTGGGGCATTTTTTTTAAATTGGGGGCAAATGTGATGGTGGAATTTGAATTTTTTTTTTAATTGGGGGCATTTTTTTAAATTGGGGGCAATGGGGGCAAATGTATTAGTGGAATTTGAAAATATTGTTTTGATTGGGGGCATTTTTTTTAATTGGGGGCATTTTTTGGAATTTGGGGCAAATGGGGGCAAATGTGTTAGTGGAATATGAAAAAAAAAATTTTGGGATCGAGAAAATCAGCTATTTTGGGTATTATATGGACCCCTGTAATTTTACTGTAAATTAACTATACACTGTGCGGTGTGCACCGTACCGACTCTACCTGTTGGTTCTATTCTAGAAAGATGGTTGTACGAGTGTCCGGCTACTAGAGAAGGTCGTCTTGATCTAACAAAATAAAGCAATTGATTAAATTATTAAAATCAGTCAAGAAAATCACTAAAAAATAATTGACGTGATAATATAAAACTATTATTAGGTATCCGAAATGTCGGCCACCGTTTTCTCATTTAAAAATTTCGAAGGTTTGGAAGTTCCAAGACTTTTTGTTTATTCAGTAAATTAACGACCTTGGACAACATTCCCCACAGGCCTCAATTCAATATGTCATCAATTTTTTTTCCTACATTAAATTGTTTTAAGGCAGATGTTCTTCTTTTAATTAGAAACAGTTTTTTATCAAATTTTGCCAAAAAAAAGAGATGAGTTTGACAGAAAGTATAAAACAAATGTTGAACCTCACACGGGAACATTGGCTGAACAGTTAATTATTGGTTTACTATTTGTAAATCTGTGAACAATCCCATTTAATGCCTAATATTCTAACCTATGTGAAGCTTGAGGTATATTAGTGAGTGAAATGTAACTGTTTCGAACACTTCTAAGGCTGGCAAGGATCTGGGCGAAGGGAGTTACTATCAGATCGTCTCCGTGTCTAAAATATACAATCAGGTAATAACTTTAACTCAGAGACTGGAATTTAGACAGCTAAGATTTATTTTAAGTTCAGTATTCCGTACTTAAGTTTGAAAAACTGAACTTAAGTTAAGTCTCAATTGGGGATCAAGGATATTTTTGATACACATTACTTCTAAAATTATGGATCTTGATTTGTAAAATTTATGCTCTATAAAGTTGTCATTTTAAAGTTAACTTTTTTTTGTACAAATGTTTTATTTAATGCTCTAAATGGTGAAGTAGACGCAATTAGGTCACTTAATGAATCACTCTTAAAAAGGGAGCCACTTGAAGTATGTCTACACTCTTTTAAAAATATATCTATATCAAGAAGTCTCTTTTAAAATAAATATCCGATACAAGTTACAACATAAATAAAATAAAAATTACAACATTACATATCTTTATTATTACAAAATATAATGCATTTAGCCAGAACAAATCCTGTTTAGAATTTTACATGTTTTAAGAAGGTATGGGACCAAAGCCTAGAAAAGTCCTGTTTTGTCCTTGATAATATTTAGTCACCTATGTCATCTGTTGTCATAACTAACTACAGTTAAACCCTAAATGAGCCATACATCAAGAGAATTTATCAAATTCCGTCTTGACAATTTTTTAATGGGTTTTATACTATTTTACGTAAATTTCAGTATTTGCGAAAATAAATAAATAGCCATGAATATGCGGGAACAGTTTTAAAGAGCTCAATATAATCATTTAATTTAAAAACTAAATATCTGCAACATTCCATTATGAGAAAGTGAAGAATATGACACTTGATGAATTGGCTTAATTAGGGTTTATCTGTAAATAACACAAAACCCTCAGAAAGTAGGCTAAACCACGCCAGAAAACAGACAAAACAAAATCAGAAATCAGACAAAACAAAATCAGAAATCAGACTAAACCACACCGGAAATCAGACTAAACCACACCGGAGATCAGACTAAACCACACCGGAAATCAGTCTACACTTCTTCAGAAATCAGACGAAACCACATCAGAAAGTAGGTAAAGCCAATCAGAAAGTAGATTTGAGAAAAATCCACAACAGAAATCAGGCTAAACCACAAGAAAAATACACTAAACCACACAGAAACAGTATTCTGTAATCTGTATTCTATATTCTTTGTACTGTGTACTGTGTACTGTATTCTGTATTCTGTATTCTGTATTCTGTATTCTGTATTCTGTATTCTGTATTCTGTATTCTGTATTCTGTATTCTGTATTCTGTGTTCTATGTTCTGTGTTCTGTGTTCTGTGTTCTGTGTTCTGTATTCTGTATTCTGTATTCTGTATTCTGTATTCTGTATTCTGTATTCTGTATTCTGTATTCTGTATTCCGTATTCCGTATTCCGTATTCCGTATTCCGTATTCTGTATTCTGTGTTCTGTGTTCTGTGTTCTGTGTTCTGTGTTCTGTATTCTGTATTCTGTATTCTGTATTCTGTATTCTGTATTCTGTATTCTTTATTCTGTATTCTGTATTCTGTATTCCGTATTCCGTATTCCGTATTCCGTATTCTGTATTCTGTATTCTGTGTTCTGTGTTAAGGAAATAAAGTGTAAAATTTATCTTCTTCAAAATAAATTAAATTTAACTTTCCCAAAAATCTGAAATGCAACGCACATTCACATTCCACAATGTCCGTTGCATTTCTGGAAGGAAAATATTTACATTTTTACAATTTGTTACAAAACGGCACAAGACTAGAAAATAATCAAAAAAAAATAATAAAAATACTAATTTAAAAAATATTATTGTGTCTAGGATGCAGAAGTACACTCAAAAAAACTTTTATGCTTGAACCCTCCCTTTACTAACCCATAAACCATATGTAATGAAACACAGGAATTGAGTCTTTGCCACAAACTCAAATTTCCCTTTCCCTATAGTTGCAACCTGATGGTGTAAACCCTTGGATTGTAAACATATATGGGTTAGGAAAGCTGATTTTTGGCAAAGACTCCTTTCCTCTGGGTTAAGAAAAATTGTTGTATAAGTTAATTTTAACATGAATTTTCTATATTATTTAACGAACCTAAATTAATGTTATCTGTCCTATTTATTATTTAATCTGAACTAAAAATCGTGCTGACTACTTATTTAATCGAAATATTTAAAATTCAAAATATCAACAAACAGCTCAGAGACAGGAGAGTAATTTCAAAAATTTGAAATATTTTGAATTTTAAATAAATGTTGACAATGTACTGAAGTATACCCATTGTAAAATTTTCTATTCTGCTCTAAGGATGAAGTTCGATGATATTTAGGGGGTTTATAGGGTGAGGGGGGGCAGGGAACTCCCCGCCCCTCCCCCATCTGCGCCCCGCAGTCACTCTCCGAGTCCTCGCTTCCTCTATAAGAATTAGTTTCTCTTGAAAAATAATCTAAACTTTGTGTTAGTTTATAATGTATACCAACCTTACTCTTAATATTTAATATGAACTTTATCCACACAAAATGTAAAGATATTTATACTTATTTCTTCAATGAAAAGTAGAAAAAAAGTTTAAAAATTAGAACAACAGCATTTTTATATTTGTAGCAACATCAAAAGCAGCAAAATAAAAGCAGCAAATTAAAAGCAGCAATAAAAGTTAGCAGATCTATAATATCTTTCAAGTAAGATTAGTTGAACCATCATATCTTATTTGTAAAAATCACGGTTAAATTTTTTAAGCAGTCACACTCAACTCATGTGTAATTGAGTTTGAGCTAAACAGACCTTTACGGTCTTTGTTTGTACTGCCTAACCCGGTACACCAACTACATTGGCAGACATACAGCAGGGGTCAATATAGTTGGCCTTGCTCTGTAAGCAGGACGAGCAGGTCTAGATGGTGCAACTAGGTTGACGCAGTCTGACTTAAGGCTGCTTCTGGTTAAAATTAATATCACTAAAGCGGCACTAAAGCACTTCTCCTTAGTTAGAAAAAGCAGCATTTATAATCGCATAACCACATTTTAAGCAGCAACAGACGCAGTAATATTAGCAGACGAGTGTAAAATTTTTAACTGCGAGGGGATTAGCAGCAGATGATAATATATGCTGACTGCCGACCTCGGACCAATGTGCGTGTGCTCCAAGCTATTTTATAACATGGTTTAATCTTTAGTCCAACCCCCAAAATAGGGATTTATTATTTATTATTTTGAAACTTTTTTTTTAAAGATATAATTTTTCATATCTTTGGAAGAAAACAAAGAAGCTGGTTTTATGTTAGACTATATCAGCCACAAATAGCAACGTATAACAATCCTAAATCTATATTTTATACTCAAAAATGCAATTTGGGTTTAATTGAAGTATATATATAGTTGTACAATGATGCATATTTTCTACAGTTAATTATTAAATTCTATCATCTTAAACTTAAAATTGTGATTATATTGATTGGCTCTATCTGGGAATAAATGCTTAGGTTTCATGACGTTAAAAATATTGGACGACTTTAGTTCTTGGATAAACATTCAGACTTTGACAAACCAGAAATTGTTTTTTTTTGTCAATTTTAAGACACATGCCGTTTAATAAAAAAGTTCTCAGGATAAAACATATTTTTTAGATTTTTTTATTTTATAGTTACATTGATATCATTATCATGTCTCCATATCATGTCCATATATAGAGATTAATTTTTTTTGCTTACGTTACGAATTTTTCCCAAAACGATCGTCTTTGCTTGATTCTGAGGACTGACGTAGAAAGTGTGCGTGGCAATGATGAGCTAGGCCCGCCCTCGTCGTAAACTGACATAACTTTTATCAGATGTTTTTACACTTGATTCTTTAAAAACTAAATCATCCACCAGATTTCTTACAAAATTGATTTGATCATAAGATTAAGTTTTCCTGAAAATTTTGGTGCTGAAGTATTTCTATTGAGTATTTTGTTGTTGGTTCCCTCCACTGCATCACTTTTGTGTCTGGATGATACAAAATTGATAAAAAGTTTATATTTTATATTTACAAACATTCTGATTCTGATGGATTAATGATTTCCTGTAAATCTTTTTAATGTATTTTGTTCCTTGTTCTAGATATTTTCATCCGGATTCTTGGGCTTTCATACGTTGATTGTCTTCTGCTTTCACTAGCTAATGGAGCAACTGAGTCCTGATCGTGTGAAAATATTGAAATTCCATTGAGACAGTCAAAAATTTGGATTCTTTTAGTGTGATGTACTGCAATTGCATCCTTATTGCATAACATGTGCCGAGGATTTGTAAACAATGATTAGAAAATTGGCAAGAATTCGAGAATATCACGCTTGGACAGAGAACTAGCACCTTGCTTTAGCTCTCTACATACTTATTTACATAATATTGACATCCCCCCCCCATCCCCACTATCCTTAGATTCGAAATAGTTTAAATATTTACTGCATGTCTGATACAAGATGTGAAATATTTCTGAAGAAAAACAATTTATTTTGAATTAGAATTTTTTCAATCTTCGATATTAAAAAAGGCATATGATATGATGTTAATCATCAGAATTTCTGACTTTCTAAAACAATAACAGTACGTAAGCATATTTCTGACGTCCTAAAACATTAACAGTACGTAAGCATATTTCTGACGTCCTAAAACGTTAACAGTACGTAAGCATATTTCTGACTTCCTAAAACATTAAGCAGTACGTATGCATATTTCTGACGTCCTAAAACATTAAGCAGTACGTATGCATATTCTGACTTCCTAAAACATTAAGCAGTACATAAGCATATTTCTGACGTCCTAAAACATTAACAGTACGTAAGCATATTTCTGACTTCCTAAAACATTAAGCTGTACGTAAGCATATTTCTGACTTCCTATAACATTAAGCAGTACGTATGCATATTTCTGACTTCCTAAAACATTAAGCAGTACGTATGCATATTCTGACTTCCTAAAACATTAAGCAGTACATAAGCATATTTCTGACGTCCTAAAAATTTAAGCAGTTCATAAACATATTTCTGACGTCCTATAACATTGATCAGTACGTATGCATCATAGAGAAAGGAAACGAAGAGGTAAAGCTTACCTCAGATGTATACAACCGACCACCCTATTAATTAATCAAAAGGGTGGTCGGTTGTGTACATCACGTTATGTTTACGTATATAACACTGTACACTTTTATATGGAGTGATCGTACTTCTAGAGGGGATTTTATGGAATTGATAAATTTAGTCTTTTCTCCTGACGAACATCTGGTTCTTTAGAATGGTTTGAGCAAATATAACTCCAAGGACTTATCATATCTCCCACTGAGTCTCCCAACCTTAAAAATGTCTAGCCATGTGCACAGTGTTTTGGAATTTTGAAAGAAAAAAAACTCACATTTTTCTCACATTAATACAATATTTTGTCATTCTTGTCTTAACATAAACAAAAACTAAACTGGAATATACTGTACTATACACTCCTATCTATACAAATATTCAATTATCTACATTTTACCACCCCGTAGAAATACGTAAAAATAACGTGATGCACAGTACAGAACCGACCAATCTATTAATTAATCAATAGGGAGGTCGGTTGTGTACATCTGAGATAAGCTTTACCTCTTCGTTTCTTTTCTCTCTGGTCTGCAATGCATATTGCAAACGAGGAAAATGACATAAATTCTTTCAACTTTTTGCCTTGATTAGGTTAGAACTGCAAATCGGACAAACTTCCTAGATTTTCATTCATATCATTAAAAACTCTTAAATTAATGAAAAATCATTAAAGACTCTTGAATTAATGAAATATTATTAAAAACTCTTGAATTAATGAAAAATCATTAAAAACTCTTGATTTAATGAAATATCATTTAAAACTCTTGAATTAATTAAAAATCATTAAAACTCTTGAATAAATGAAATATCATTTAAAACTCTTGAATTAATTAAAAATCATTAAAACTCTTGAATAAATGAAATATCATTTAAAACTCTTGAACTAATTAGATATCATTTAAAACTCTTGAATTAATTAAATATCATTTAAAACTCTTGAATAATTTAAATATCATTTGAAACTCTTGAATTAATGAAATAAATTATAAAAAGTAAAGTATGGATATCTTTCCATCAATTTTATTTGTGCATTATATTTAGGCAAAAAGTCCAGAGTGTGAGAGAATAATGGTAAAACAACACGACGGTTTGGATATCGTGCACAATTATATCCTATTCTAGGTAAAGCTATAATATCCACTTTAACCCCCTTAAAATCTTATAAAAAAGACAAGTGGTTATTTTCAAACAAAGGAATTAAGGCTTTGCCTCAAACTCAAAATTTCTCTATCCTATATCTTTGTAACCCGATGGTGTACACCTTTGATATTTCAAACTTAGATTATATGATCTAACAAAATTCATAGTTTGAAATATCTGAGATCTACGATGTTGTATCGCAAAGATTATATAAGAATTAGAAAACCAGAGTTTGTGGCACAGAAACAATTAATTTATTTAATTAAGAAAATTAATAATTTAAATAAATTATCGTGAGACAAGCTGCAAAAAACTATTTTTATTTATTCCAGTTTATATATCAAATTTTCAATTTATTTTTTAGCTGAGTGCTCATTTACTGACAAGAAATTCAGGGGAATTTACTAGTTTACAAACTTTATTGAATTTAAGGTTAGTCCAGAATGATAAAAAACCACATAATTTATGCAAAGTTAAATTTGATTTTATATTTGAACTATTACCGTGGCTTAGAAAAGCGTCGATTATAATTTTCAAAGAATTTTTTCCTTGAAAAATAAATTATTTTTGGGAAACTGAAAAAAAAACTCATTAATTTATCCCATTAAAAAAAAATTTCCATAAGGTACAAGAATCAAACTCACAAATGGGGAGAAATTATTTTGTTTAATGGAGTCCCCTGTAATTAAACTGTAGAATAAGATATAAATCAAATTTTAGGGATGAACGGGAAACCCAGGTAAAGTAATCTATCAAGACATTTTTTTTGCAAGTTCAGAAATATGCAAAAAATTAGATTTGAATTCAAACTCACACATTTTCCCACCATGTTGTGACTTTTAATCCCAATTTAACCAATTTTAAAAATAAATTTTTCGCTTTTCCTTTTTCTCGGCGGATGGATTTTAAATGAACATTTTTGAAAAGAACTTCTTAAGGAATTGAGTTTTCGCCACAAACTTTGATTTTCTAATGAATGTATCTTCACAACCCGATTTCATAGACCTTTGATATTTCAAACTATAAATTATGGTAGATCAAGCAATGTAAGTCTGAAATATCAAAGGTTTACACAATCACATTGTAAAATAAGACTAGAATTGTGCTTGAGCATATCATTAGTTCAGAGTGAAAAATTTAGATTTTTCTTCAAGTTATATATGGAAGTACGGAAAAAAATTCTTCAGAATCGGAGAAGCCATAAATATAATTTCACGAAGTAAAAATTAAAAAGATTTATGAAAGTAAAGGCATTTGGTTTTCTAAATCAATTTGATGCAAAAACTTGTATTTGTAAAACTATAGAACCACCCAATACGTGGAATTATTTCTCTTTAGATATATGCAGTTTCTTGGTCTTTCAGAATTCAATAAAAAAAATTATTTAAAGTAAATATTTTCAAAATCTAGAAGTACAATGTAAAATTATTTTTTTAAACATTTTTTATGGATCTAAGTTTTAGTTTTTTACCATACATTCAGTAGAAAACTGTCAATAAATCATATTTTTTTGAGACGAATGAAGCAAAATAGTCATCTAAATATCTCAGAAAATTTATCTTAAGTATGAGTTAAAGCATGGTAAGCACTGTATTAACCTTCAATCAGCTTGTCAAGTCAGGCATTCTTGAGTTTGACAACAAAACTGAAAACTAATACAATGGGGCAGAGTGTCCCAAAAAATACTGGTTTCGAGAAATTTTAATTTTCTTTCAAAATTATCAGCATCAGGGACAGCCAACGGATGGAAAAGAAAAAAGGAAGAAGGAGAGAAACGACGACAAGAAGAGAATCTGTATTAACTGTATCCAATTTAAAAGATGAAAAATTCAAAAATAATAAATTGATAAAAAAAGTCATCTTAATATCTTTTCTAGTGAAGTATTCAGGGGTTTCAAACTAAATTCCGTATAACTTGAATAAAATATAAATTTTAATATTTATTGATTTTTTAAATTAAAAAATATCATCTGTAATAGCAAATACAATTTTAGTTTCATCGTTTGATCCAAACATTGCAAGATATTTTCCAGTTTTTAAATCGGACAATGTTTACTTAAGAATACCACAGAGCATTTTTAGAAAGGGAAAATTATTCTCTTTCAGCTCTTTCATATTTGAAAATTAATTATATTTAATTAAGCCACTGATTACTTGCCTTAAACTTATATCTTTACAACCTGATAGGAAGACCTTTCACCTCTTAAGCTATAAACTCTTCTATATGTCAATAGCCAACACGTGAAATATCAAAGGTTTACACCATCAAGTTGCAAAGATAGATGGATTAGAAAATAAAAGTTTGAGGTAAGTTTTCGGTTTCATTTCTGCAATTTGACAAAAAAATCAAATCTTTCCGATAGACTGAACTTTGCACAAGCCGTCCTTCTGATTTTATTTGCCCCCCCCCCTTACGAAAATCCAATTGCGCCCAAACTATAATAATCTTTAATAAATAAAGATATAAATGAAACCTCAAGTTCATCCTTCTCCCAGGAGATTATGCTGCTATTCTGAGATATATGTTTTAAAAGAGAAAGATTGTGTTTGTTTTCTATATCCTCTCTGTTCTCTGAATCCTCTGTATTATCTATATCCTCTGAGGGTGCAAGGAACCTCATAATCCCAGATAAAGAATGCACTGCTATAAACATTTTCACTGCAAACAGACAGATAGAAGGTTTTCGTGGATTTAGCGCCAATTTTTATTAAACCAGGATGATAGTGGTTTTGAGATTTGGTAAAGTGTTAGTTTACGACATCAATTCAACATGTCTAGTTCAAGTTTAAGACATTAATTCAACATGTCTAGTTCAAGTTTAAGACATCAATTCAATATGTCAAGTTCAAGTTTAAGACATTAATTCAACATGTCTAGTTCAAGTTTAAGACATCAATTCAACATGTCTAGTTCAAGTTTAAGACATTAATTCAACATGTCTAGTTCAAGTTTAAGACATCAATTCAATATGTCAAGTTCAAGTTTAAGACATTAATTCAACATGTCTAGTTCAAGTTTAAGACATCAATTCAACATGTCTAGTTCAAGTTTAAGACATGAATTCAACATGTCTAGTTCAAGTTTAAGACATAAATTCAACATGTCTAGTTCAAGTTTAAGACATCAATTCAACATGTCTAGTTCAAGTTTAAGACATCAATTCAACATGTCTAGTTCAAGTTTAAGACATCAATTCAATATGTCAAGTTCAAGTTTAAGACATTAATTCAACATGTCTAGTTCAAGTTTAAGACATCAATTCAACATGTCTAGTTCAAGTTTAAGACATCAATTCAACATGTCTAGTTCAAGTTTAAGACATCAATTCAACATGTCTAATTCAAGTTTGTAAAATTAAGTTTGATGCATATAGTTGATAGATATACACTATACCCAGTATATAAAGACAAATTGCTAAACTTACAAATACATTTATTCCTTAAAGGCCTTTGACTTAAGTGGCTCTAAATTTATAAATTTACTTAAGTAACAATAAGCAGGGACGTTTAAAAATTTTGGAAATTCAAGAGAATCTGCAAAATAACTGCTATAATAATATGTTGTCTTGATAGCGTTTCAATGAAAACTGGCGGCAATTACTGGAAAACAGCTGCAGTAAATGTTAAAAAATGAATATATAATTTTACCTTGTCCCAATTAATTTTGTCTTTTTTAAAGGTTTATATTCACAGCTCAAACCAATTTAAATCTGTCTACGTCTAATTTTCGTTGAATTTTGTAATAAATCTTGTTTAAATGTTTATGTTAAATTTAAACTCTATTAGTAATCTTTTTAGTCAAGTTTTTGTATTATTTAGTTTGGAACAATTTAAATTTACATCAGAATTTGCATTCACTGGATACTTGGAATAATTGATAATGCAGCGATGTTTGGTAATTTCTCAGCAATTTTTACCTCCCCCCCCCCCTCTTCATATGTAGGGTTGTAAGATTATTACAATCTATCCATGCATCTTAACCTAATCTAACCAGGAGTTGTGGATGTTCTAGGGCTTGTTATTTAACAAAAAAGAAGATATCTAAAATATTTCAATATAGTTTCTAAAGGACACTATTGTTAAACTTTTATGAATTAAGATAAACTTTAAAAACCGAGAATCGGAGCACAATCTCTTTNTTGAGAATTCTGTTTATTTGGATTTAACGATATTACTATAAACTGTGAACTGCAGAGATGCATTAACATTTCTACCCAAATATTCCACAACAGAGGTATTCATATAAACAGTGTGACACATTAAACATAATTATTTTCTTTATAAATAAAAAAATGATAGGTCGTCTTCATGGACTTAATTATTTTGTGAAATTTTTTGCGTCATTTAATCAATTTTTTCTACAAATAATAGTTTTTTATTGTGATTGCAAAACAAAATTCAAATTCCTTGAAAACTGTTCGGATATTATAACCGACCAAGCCTCGAATATCTGTACATACATTTGGACCCAATTTGTTTTTATCCGACAATTTAAACAGAAAAATCTGATGGAGAACGAGACAGGGACAGAAAAAAATAAAAGTTGTCTAAAAAAAAGAGGCCCAATTGTGCCTAGTAATAAATTTACCATTAAAAAGATAGTGATCGAGTATAGTGAGTATAAAAATAAAAGTATAAACATTTATTTCATTGCTTACAAAGCTGTGACAACTTAATTATCTGGTCAAGACATATTTCTAAAAAATCTGGAATGCAGGGGGACCCATAAAAGACTCTAGAGACGACTAGTCATGAAGAAAAAAACACCGAGTTTAACCATTTCTATGATCGTAATTAAATTGTACATTTTTTGTATTCCAATCCGTTTCAATTTGTATTTGAATCTTAACTTATGAGAAAGACGATTTTCTTAAAGAAAAAGAGTTCCTGCATTTATGAAAACAAAAATAGTTTTATTTAATGCTTTATGAATTTAAAGAAATTGATTTTCATTAGTTTTTAGCGAAGGAAATTATCACTACACGTTTCAATAGTTCTGGAACCATATTCTATTTCATTTGTAAACCTTTTCTCTCTGAATACATTGTAAAATAAAACAAACAAATTCGCGAATTTTATCAAAAAATTTCGTGGATTTTCAAAATTGCCAAAAATCGAATTTTGTTAGAAGCAATATTTTGAAAATTCGATCATCCATAATCCCTTTAAAGTCTTATTCTCTGCGTATAATTCTGGAAAGAGAGAAAGGAATTGAGTCTTTGTCACAAACTATGATTTTCTAATCCCTATATCTTTTTAATCCAATGCCATAGACCTTAGATATTTCAAACTATGAATTCTATTAGATGAAAAAATCTAAGTTTGAAATGTTAAAGGTTTACACCATCAGGTGGAAATAATATTAGTAGTAGAAAATCAGAGTTTGTTACAAAGACTCAATTCCTTTGTTTAATATTACTGCAGCAAACCTTGTGTTTACTGTCGGAGTAAACACAAGGTTTGCTGCGATATTAAATCAGAGATACATGCATACCAGTAAGGTAGGGATCTACCGAGAATTGGAAAGGGTTTGTTTACGTTTACTGTGACGTAAACAAACAAGAACTGCTCAAAATACTAAGCCTTGTTTACAATCTTTATTATTGTTTCATTATTACTAGTTTCTGAGCTGTCCTTAGACGTCACAGCAGAATGTCAAATTAACCAATTCTCCTCACTTAGGTTTATGTACATTGTACACTGTACACTGAAGTACAGTATATGTAAGTCTTTACATTATTGCAGTATTTTTTTTCTCCAGTGTACTTCAATTGGACCCTTAAAACTGGAATAGAAAGACAACATTTAAACAACATCTTTTTATTTGTTGTTAAGCAATATTTTGCCCAGTGACTTTGAAATAAATTCAGTAAGTGAAATGGTTCTGAGTACAATGCATTAAGGCTGAAATAAACTGGTAAAAATCAAAGGTTAAGTCGTCTTCCTGTTCCTTAGTTTTCTAGGCTCCTCTTGTACAGAGGATTATAGTATATTATTGACTAGGAACTGTATTAGATCTGCTAGGAACCCGGAGCTAGGAGATCATCTGCCAAATATATAATTCTTCATTCCAAACCTAAAAGACTACAATCTTGGATATTTTTCAGCGGTTTGGTCTTTAGATAGAAACTAGATATTTGTCAGCGGTTTGGTCTTTTTATAAAAGCTAGATATTTCTCAACGGTTTGGTTTATAGATTGGTACTAGATATCTGTCAGCAGTTTGGTATTTAGATAGACACTAGATATCCGCAGCGGTTTGGTATTTTTATAAAAGCTAGATATTTGTCAACGGTTTGGTTTATAGATTGGTACTAGATATTTGTCAGCAGTTTGGTATTTAGATAGACACTAGATATTTGTCAGCGGTTTGGTCTTTAGATAGAAACTAGATATTTGTCAGCGGTTTGGTCTTTTATAAAGGCTTGATAATTGTTTACGGAATTTGGTCTATAGATTGGTACTAGATATTTGTCAGCAGTTTGGTATTTAGATAGAAACTAAATATTTGTCAAAGGTTTGGTCTTTTTATAAAAGCTAGAAATTTGTTAGCGGCTTGGTCTTTAGATAGAAATTAGATATTTGTCAGCAATTTGGTTTTCATATAGAAACCAAATATTTTTTTGGTCTTTTTATAAAAGCTAGATATTTGTCAGCGGTTTGGTCTATAGAAAGAAACTAAATATTTGTCAGTGGTTTGGTCTTTCGATAGAAACTAAATATTTGTCAGTGGTTTGGTCTTCATATAGAAACCAGATATTTTTCAACGGTTTGGTCTTTTTATAAAAGCTAGATAATATCAGCGGATTGGTCTGTAAATAGAAACTATATTTGTATTTTTATGTAAACTAGATATGTGTCCGGCTGTGAGAGGTTT